TGCTTAGTTTTCTTACTTAAAAGCTTGCAATAGCATCAGCGAATTGATTAAAAATTTTTCAGTTTTTCAGTGAACAAGCATCAGCTTTGTCGTACCTTAACATGAAGTTTGAAAAACTGCTAGGCCTGGTCTTCGTTATAATGAACGGGCTAAACGGATTAACTGGCCGCGCGGCAGCCATTGATTTCCGACCACAAATACCAACATTACAACCACCCGTAATATACGATTCGCCGATCCGTAAACCGGTAGAGGAGTTTATGTATGCATAAGAATTTCGAAGAGAATATTGTAATAAAGAACAAGTTTCATAACATATGTAATAAAAAAGCAGAGTTTTAAAATTTTTCTTTTATTAATTATAGTAAAGATTGTTAAGCGAAAAGTGTTCATGCGTACAAATTTTTGCATTGGATTCACTTGGCTTCTAAATTCTTGCAAATAATGAAAATTTCCGTCTTTTGGAATTAATTCTTAGGTTCGCATAAAACCTCCTGCCTCAAAATTTCTTGGTTTCAAAAACCAAAAAAATATTTGTGCAAACGAGCAAGCGATGGATATCAAAAAACCCCATTTGAGTTGTCGCTTTAGTAATCGTGTCATTCTTCTTATTTCTTATATACGCCAAATGTGTGAAAATGCGGCATCCGAAGGGCTTTACTACTTAGTATTGGTCTCGTTATCTTTAAAACATGAACGAATATTGATCGCGAGATCGAAAATTTCTAGTTAATTCGTCTTGCAGGGGAAACCTTTTCGAGATAAGCTTGTCCCAAAACTTTGTATAAGAAGCGTAAAAACACAGTCTATATAAACCAAATTTGCGTTTTTTTAACAAAAAGTTTCGTAGTCCACTAACCCATGCCTGAAGGGTTGTCCTCATTCCTTCACGCGCCAAATGCTCCACAATGGAATTAAAAGAGTTAATTGATTTATTTTCTATAATGAAAAAAATAGCAAATAAGAAAGTTTTATTCGGCAGGGGCCGAATCTCGCATACCAGTGACTATGCTTTTCGCATTCTACTCTCAACGTTCTTTTGTAAAGTTGACCTCTTCATTTCTGTGACCAAAGGTGTGCCAACAACAAATATTGCACAGACATACAGACGAACAGACATGGTGTAGTAAATCCAGAATTTCACGCTGTTCAAGAATATATATATACTTTATAGGGTCTCTGAAGCTTCCTTCTGGTTGTTCCATACATTATCAAAAAAAAAAAAAAAAGAAAAAAACAAAGTGAGTATACTCCCATCTTACAGTGGTGGGTATAAAAGGGCAAGACGATTCATTTCTATCTCAGCACATTTATGTTCGTAACCTTTTTGCTGTTGTTTCGGTTAATTGCCATTATATGTATTGTGCACTTTAGGTCGAACAATAATAAAAGAGATTTTACCTCAACAGCTTATTACTTATTAAAATTGCGAAAAAATTTGAATGCGGATAAAGATGAACCTTTTATCGCTGGATTTTTAATAAAAGGAACATAACTTTCTTTGCTTTTGTTCATCATGGTTTTTGGTTGGTCAGTTGCGCTATGATTGAACGCCAATCAACGAAGCTTATCAACATGCATCTCTTTTACGGGGATTGTCGTAATTTGCTTAGCAATTAATTATAAGGTTTTAAGTTCAATTGTGGAACAATGGCATTATTATCAAAACTATTTTTCCAAATTTTCCAAATACTTATATTACGGCTGATCATGATTATAAGCGTTCTGAAAATTGAAAACACCCAACAAACTGTTAAACCGAGCAAAATATTACCGTCTCGCTCTAAAGCACGCCGCATGGACCAAGTCATAGAAAAGGGTTTTATATCAATCTATTTATCTTGTTGGAAGAAAAATGATTGGATTACGATGAATTGATTGCAATCGAGACAACCTAAAATCTTGAACCATTTGGAATTAGTTATTGCACTAGGGCATAAGGTATCGCATTCTCACGCTTTCAACTACGCAAGGATACATAAAAAAACTTGCAAAATTATTCTAATCGCTTCAAACCGATAAGTTGATCAAACGAATGCTGGATGTTTTTTTATGTTTACATTCTTTCGCAATACATTCTGACAGCATGATATTAGGTCGTTCAACCGGTCTTTCTAAACATTAATTTTCAAAATCCAATATTTGAGGCTAATCAGCCAAACCGGCTATGTGTTGGGACATCCTAAGCGTTTTCTTTTCGAGGAAAATTTCGAGGAAAATTGAAAGGACTTTGCTTATTTCGGAAGCGTCGTTCGTTTGACCGGCTCGTTGATATTCAAAATTACAGATTGAAGAAATATTTTTTGAATATTATGAGCCATTTATTTATCTTTCGCATACAGTTTTGGATTTTCTGTTCTTTTTTTTTTCTTCTAATTAAAGCACGGCTTGCTATCAAATTACACGAAATCACGAAATCTATCATAATAGATATGAAATTTTCCTCAAATACTGTCGGAATTTGTTATCAAGAATACGATTGCCGCTATTAAAAGAGTGGAATTCATTTTTCTTGCCATTCATAGCAGATTTGCTATTATAGGCCATTATGACCCATTTTCTTTACAAATATTAACTTATTTGAGTTACTATGATGGCAGATGTCCGTAATCAAAATGTGTATATATTAGCTACTGAGGACGAATAAACTGATGTGACCACTATGAGGATATGTTTGGTATGCATATCTTGCGTACACTACTGGAATCTATTCCGTGACGAATTCAAACTATTTTATAGAAAAACGCTTACCCTTTACACTTTATTAATAAATAGTGTATTTATGGCAAGTATTCCACCCATCCACCGCCATCAACTTTTTATTACTTTTGAAAAACAGACGTGGTAGTGTGTGCATGTCCTTTGAACGAATTGGCCCATTTTTAATACCAACCTGCGTGCAAGAATGTCCAATATTCATACATGCTTCATTATTACAATCAAGAGAATGTTTATAGCAAACATTAGACAGACGGACATATAGACATTGTTAATCAATTCAGAATTTAATGCTAATCAAGAATACATATACTTGGTGGGCTATATGTGCTCTAAAACTTTCTTTGGGCCATTGGAATAGTTTCGATAAATATTCGAATAATCACGTCATCCTTCGATTATGGGCATAAAAATGGAAAAATTTTTGAAAGAGATTTAATAAATAGATGAGAGCTTCACAAAATGTGCTAAAAACTATTGAAAGATTTTGTGAAAATTATTGTATAAAAAAGTTATTGTTATAGAATAGTTAGGTAAGCAAACAATGGCACTATCATTATATCATGTAATCACAATTAAAAATTCTATTTAATTGAACTACGATTATAATTAATCGAATATTGAATGTTGGTTAACTTCCCTTAACGTTGAAAAAATCAAAAAAAAAAAAAAAAAAAAAAAAAAAAAA